TGATATTGAATTTGACTGGGCCAAACGTCACTGGATGAGCCTCCCGTCTATAATCACAGCCATCATCGCTACCGTTTTGTGTAATGTAGATGCAATGCTAATCCTGAGAATAAAAGTTGTCATTCTCGGTTGGCTGACAGCGTGCACCGGAGTCATCACCTCACTAAGTCTCTCAGTGATGTGATTCCAAGATGACAGTGTAATAAGTGTTATGTGCGCAAGGTAATTCAAAACAAATTTGGCTGCAGAAATGGATTGTCTAGGATAGTAAACTCCCGCCTTGTCTCATCGTCTTTTAAGAGAACGTAATGATCCCTAAAATACCTCGTCAAGAAGCTTGTGTGGCAGGGGTCAAGTCCTGTAAAATTTATCTGTCACACCCCTCTCTCCCTGAGAATCTCAACTTAAGGACTGAAAATATTCATGTGTATATTGGTAGCCTAGGAACACACAAGATGGGAAGGGAGCTTCCTGGGAAGTAAAGAAGCCTTTCTGTTTACAAATCCTGTTAAGACCACCTCACTAGGCTGGGCTTTGCTTCTTTGACGTAGAGTTTCCTCCTGGGAAAAAGAGACTCTTTTGGTATAGCATCCCCATGAGCACTGGCATCCTAATAAATTTTTATTATTGGCATATTAGACATTATATGTAGATTATCTCATCTAGATTTTATAACAACCCTAAGAAGAATGATACATTTGTTTTGCAGATGAGGAACCTGAGACTCAGAACAGTCCAATTTGCCCAAAGCCCACAGCCCTGACTTCAACCCTGTCTTGATCCTAAAGTTGACATCCTGCACGCTCTACCTCCAAGTTGTAAGAAAGGAGAGGTCACATGGCTTGTGGAGGGGCTTACATAACTGGGTCTATTGAAAACTGTAGGCACTGGGCAACTAAAACTGTTTTCTTGGGTACAATTGTCAGAAATGCCTTTCTGTGAAGCCCAGCCATAAGCAGTGGTAACATTCTTGTGTGACATAAAAGGGCATTTCTCAGTCACCCCAAAGTTCCTGACTTTTCTTTGGGGTTGCCACTGCTCTCTCCTCTGTAACCTAGGCAGTAGAGATGCTATGGGTGTTGTCACAGCAGTGCCTTTTAATGACACCCAAAGTTTTTGATGGACTCCGAAAAGCTTTCCTGCTTTTTGTAATTTACACAGGACAGAGGAGCTCTTTTCCCTTGGGAGTCACCTTCGCATAGACTGATTCATGCCTACTTTTCTACATACCATTTAAACATCCACTCAGCGCTTCTAGTAAAATCTATCCAAGTAAAGCCATAGGGGCCATCACTTTTCTATTAAAATGAGCTGACTGGGATTTGCTCCTAAACAGAGAAACATTTTCAATAATTCTGCTACATAAACAGAAGAATGTCCATAGGAACAAGTGAGAATACATTCATGCCTAATTTTATAATACATCTGTGTGAAATTTATGCCTGTAAGGATGCTTTGTGCTATAGGTGGTTGAGATCCAAGTCAAATGGCCTAAAATATAAGGGATGTATTGTTGACTATGACAAGAAGTTCTAAGCTTGGTTAGTTCACTTGCATAATTATATCATCAGAAGCCCCAATTCTCCTACTTTTATGCTCTGCTGTCCTCAGTGTGTTAACTCAGCCTCTGAAACCTGTTCCCCCCCATGGTCCCAAAATGCTGCCACAAGTTCAAGAAACGCATGCAGATGACTTGCCCAGGGCAGAAAAGGAGAGGTCACATGGTTTTTGGAGGGGCTTACGTAACTGGGTCTATTGAAAACTGTATGGCACTGGGCAACTAAAACTGTTTTCTTGGGTACAAGAAACCACCCCTGCAAGTCCTATTTTCAGGATGGACAAAACTTCAAAACTCCCTAGTGGATTCTCCCTCCTATCCTGTCAGTCAGAATTATACTGCATGTCCATGTCTAAACCCAGCACTAGGCAAAAGGCACAAGACCACCATAACAGGTTGAAGCCAATCAAGATCCACAGCTCTAGTTTCACCCAGAGAGGATCTCTGATCTGGTGGAAACAAAGGGAGAGCCTTCTTAGCAGAGAGGAAATATGGGGGACTAGGAGAATGTGCTGCCCAAGCACTGGGCATTGCCTGGTGTTTGTAAAACCTAATCATGTGTGTAAAAAGTGAAGGCCTTTTTAGACACAACTAGAGATTCCTGGGGTCTAATTCTCCACCCTTTATTCGCTTAATTTAGTGTTTCTTCTTGAAGAGAAGAGAGAGTTGGGGAAAAAAAGATACCATGGTAAGAGAGTAAGAAAATCTTCTACTCACTCCATTTTGGCAAAAGGCCTGATATTTATGTATAAATGGAGAACACCACATTTGACTTGTCTTGCAGGACCCACTCAGAAGTCCTAATGTCTGTTTGTTGTTGGTGAAACTAACTTTGGTGTGAAGTCCTAATGTCTGTTTGTTGTTGGTGAAACTAACTTGGGTGTAAGCCATTCCCAGTGGTTACCAAGGACAGAAGACCAGTGGGAGTATTTGGCCTTGGCCCATCCACATCTCCTAAGTGCGCTATATGTTGCATTAATTTATTCCCAGGAACACAGTTACTATTGCATTGTAACTTTCTGTATTATTTGACTCTTGGTGTGACACATTAATGAAAAATATGGCTCAAACAGTTCTGCCCCAGCATGGATTCCACAGTACCCACCTCATTCACTCCCATCCCAAGCCCTCAGCATTCTGGGCTCTAAGCAGGGATGAGTTCACAAAGGTTAACTGGTTTGGAAATGGAAAGCTAGAAAGAATTCCTTTGTGGTCCTTTTATTTTCTCAAAGGAAGACAGTTGCGGTGTTAAACCTTGCTGTTCCAGTCCTCCAAGGATGGGGGATTTAGAAGTTTGGTGCTTCACACAGTCCCTTATTTACTGATGCACTTGAGTCATTCTGTAACCCAGAGTCCTTGTACTCAAGAAATCCTTCCGCCTTGGCCTTCCAAAGTACTCTCTTATGATGTACATAAATTATTTAAGTGGTTTAAATAAAAATTATTAATAACCTCTACTGGCATCATTCATTTGGGCTTCATTATAAGAAGAGAATCGGACATCTATTCCTTAACCCAACAGTTGTTTACATTGCACTTGAGCCTAAGAGTTGTTGTCCCTGTGGGCCAGAATGAAAAAGTTTAGGAAAAAAAGAGAAAAACAGCTGCACAATCAATACTTGGGTTCTGCTTGGATGGAGAGAAGCTGAAGTGCTCTCTCTCAGAGGATAGACCTGATCGGCGGCATGCTTTGAAGTCCAAGATACTAAGGGGGAAACTATATATGCCATATGGGAAAAGGCTGTGAGTCCATGTTCGTTTCAACATTTATAAATAAATGCTAAACACGTGCATACTACAAGAATAGAATATTAAGAGTTAAACTCAGGAACTCACGAAAAGTGACTTGAATTAGGTCAGTGTTCTGGAGAGAAGATTTGAGGAGTGGAGGAACTTCTGCAGCCATGTGTTGTGTGGAATAGGACTCTCATACCATTCTTGTATACTTGATTTTTAAACACCAACCTTGGGGAAATACCATTAAACACCAACCAACTTGGGGAAATACCATTAAAATAGTTCTGAGCCTGATAAGTTTCTTGCAGTCCAGTAAGAAGATGTTACCAAACCATCTGCACATAACATAACTACCTGAATAAAATTTCTTTGTTTTAAGGGAAGGGTAAAGGAGAGGATAAATTAAACAGTTGGACGTCCATATTGCTTGGAATGACTTCAATTTTTAGATATAAAATTCTGGTTTCTATTTTATCATACATAAGCTGTTCTAAAGATAGCTGTGTGTTGAGTTAGTTTTGATTGTACCATTGGGGAGAATTGACATAGCATCCAATGTTCTGACCTACCACAAACTAGTAAAGGTCATCTCATGAGGTTTATTTGAGGTTGCAGGGGAGGGAAATGATCATACTTTTGGTCCTGCCGGTATCACAGGACTATGATGAGAACTCTTGAGAAGTATCTTCATTTAAGTCACGCAGAAGACACTAGGCACTCAATAAGTGCAGGCAGTGGGGATGCAGCAATAGCAAAGCACTGTACATGGTAGGAAACAAAACAATTAAGCTAGATGATTCCCTAAAAGTTGGCCATTTGAGTTCCTTCTCCATAACATTTGCTGTATCTGCTGAAGGCCTGTACTGTTATTTACTTAACATTTCCCACGGACTTTTTAAAGAAAAGCAAATGGAGCTGGGCGCTGTGGCACATACCTGCAATCCCAGTACTTTGGAAGGCCACGGTGGGAGGATTGCTTGAACCCAAGAGATCAAAACCAACCTGGGCAACATAGTGAGACCTTGTCTCTACAAAAAGTAAAAAAAATTAGCCAGATGTGGTGGCATGCACCTATTGTCCTAGCTACTCAGGAAGCTGAGGCAGGAGGATTGTTTGAGCGCAGGAGGTCAAGGTTGTGGTAAGCGGAGATCGCATCACTGCATTCCAGCCTGGGCAACAGAGTGAGACCCTGTCTTAAAAAAAAGAAAGAGAGAGAGAGAGAGGGGCGGGGCAGGGGGGGAGAGAAAAGAAAATGGATTGATTTTACAAGGAAACTTCGTATCACCTCCATACAAAGAAAACTAGTATTATCTGACACAAACTGGAAAAACACACACTATTAAAACATACAATGTAATTAATTTCTGGTTAGCTTTTATTGCCTGATAAAGGCTCTGAGCCTGAGGTGGTCTTTTCTTTCACAGGCAAGATTAGCAAGTGATGAAATTGTGTTAAAGACATTCCAGTAGGAAGCCAAGACCTCCCCACTGTGAGATTTATTAACGCCCGATCTGTGTACCCCCAAGCTCACCTTCTTCCCACCAGCATTTTCTGGGAGACCTCAACATAGAGCTTCGAAGCTCTATAACACCACCACAAGCTTCTGTCTTTTAGCTGCTTACACACGAAAGCTATCAGTGCCTCTATCAATCTTTCCAGTTTCTGCTACATTCTAACCTATCCCACCCTAAACATTTTTCAACAGGTCAACGGCAAAGACTTATCCAGAGCAACTCATGACCAGGCTGTGGAGGCTTTCAAGACAGCCAAGGAGCCCATTGTGGTACAGGTACTGAGGAGAACGCCAAGGACCAAAATGTTCACGCCCTCAACAGAGTCGCAGCTGGTGGACACGGGAACCCAAACCGACATCACCTTTGAACATATCATGGCCCTCACTAAGATGTCCTCCCCCAGCCCACCAGTGCTGAATCCCTATCTCTTGCCAGAGGAGTAAGTAATGTGTTCTCCAACCCCTAATGTCTTTGTAGAATAGAGAGGTCTGGGGAAGTTGGTTTTTTCCCTTCCATGTGGTGAAAAAAAATAATGCATCTTATAATTTTCCTCCCAAGTTGCCCTTGTTTAACTTTATTGTTTATAGAGGCAATAAATTGAATCCTGCTCAAAACCACTCTGACATATTAATTACTTTATTATAACCCCAGAGCGGAGTTATTCAAATTATGTTCTAAGAACAAAATTACTTACAAATGTTGTAAAAGTTGTTTCAGAATAAAATTTAATTACTCCAAATGGTAATGTGAAGATTCTCTAGTTGTGACTAGAGGGAATGCTGATTGTTCTTTTAAATAGACAACAAAGTTGTGTGTGTAGAGAGAGCCTTGAAGCTTGCGCACTCTGCTTTTGCGGGCCTCCTTTCAAGCCTGGACCCATGTAATAAGCCCACACACGCCTGGTGTAGTCCTGCATATACCAATTAAACAGCAGCTGTGATTCAGCACTCCACATTGATTTCTTTACATGTCACTCTTCTCTTACCTTACTTTCTGCCAGAGACAAAGAGTAGTTCAGAGTCAAACCTGATGCTCAAACTAATCTCCATCTGTGGCACTTGGGTCATTTATTTTCTTGGGCTGTATTTTTCCTATATTAAAACCAGGATAATAATAGTATCCGTCTCTGAGGATTGTTGAAGGACTAAATGAAATATGGGGAAAGTTTTCAGCATGGCATATGGTAAGCACTCAATAAATGGCAGCAGCAATCATCATTAATTTAGTGACAGATGTAAAACGTTCAGGAAAAAGTGAAGAGTAAGAAACTCTTCAAGATGGGCCACTGGCTTATAAGATGTCCTGTTTAACTTGTTTTTTTGCATGTGACTTTGCACATCTAAGGGCGGAGCCTTTCTAACTGATGTTAGGGTCACCTGTTTTGCCATTTTGGCTCCATCTTGAGTTGGATAATTGACTTGATACATTATTTCAAAGGACATTTTTACCTCTTACAAGAAAAACCTCTGAGTGATACCTGTTGGATTTCTGTTAGTAACTCAATAGCTGGAGTAAGTATATGTGCCCTGTGGTTCTGTTAGATTCTGGTTAAAGGCTTGCCTTTCAGACCATGGTTTTAGTGGTTAGCTGTCATCGGAACCCAGGGCTAAGTCCCCAGGCTTGACAAAGTAAATTTACCTGTAGCTGGCAGTGTGCAGATCTAGGGAACAGTGTATCCATCTGACATTCGCTCACAGTGTGCAAATGTGCAGACACTACCAGAGAGCTGTTAGCTCCTTTATTTCTCATAACTGTTCCTTTATCCAGATGAGAAATTGTAGACTTACCAAGTCCTACTCAGCTTCAGTTGGCAGTGGCCAGAGAAAAAGGCAGGTCTACTGGACTTCAACTCCCAGCTCTTACCCATGATACGCTGTAGTGTCCCAGTTGATCCTCTGAAGCAACTGGCTGATTCGCTGACTATGATTACTCAAACCTTTTATCTGCCGTTATACCAAACTGCCTCACATTATTGATGAGGCCTTTAAGGCTACTCCTGACTCTCAAATGTTGAACTGTCACAGTGATGGACCTTTCAGAAACCAAACCCCTAATTTCCTCTTAAGTCTAGTTAACATGACATGACTTATCCCCTGGGGGCAACTGGAGAAATGTCAGAAGAGTCCAGAGGTCAGGCCTCTCCAGGTTCTGGCTACAAGGTCAGACAACAGCAAGTGTGTTTGCATCAGGATTGAATGGGGAATATTAAGTTGGTGTTTGAAAGTCCAGACCTTCCAGTACAATCCTCAGTACTAAAAGCCCCTAAGTGCAGGCAGTATATTTGCCTGATGGGTCCAGAAAATTGAAAGCCAGCTCTTGTTTGAATGACCACTCATGTCTGATCTGTTGTTTCAAAACTAAGTGCCTGGGAGGGAACACCAGAGCCCACTAATTACTGTGTTGACCTTTGAGGATGTGATGGTTTGGGTCCCCCGCCAACAATCAGAGGCTTAAGTTTTGCATCTGGCACCAGGGACTCTAAGCTCTTTTCAGAGCCACTGACCGAGCATATTATAATTCCCATTGCCTTTGCTCCTAGAAGTTCCATTAATGATATTTCCACAGAGGGAGTGAGTTCTGTGAATTGTGTTTTACATATGTTGTCCCAGGGAAACACAAGCTTCTGGTCTGCTAGCAGTGGGGTGTGTGTGTGTGTGTGTGTGTGTGTGTGTGTGTACATGTAAGCACACAGACAAGGGGGGTACCCAAAAAAACCTGGAATTGTTTTTTGGAGGATAGGCTCCTTGTAGTACCGGCTTCCCCCACTAGGTAAGTGTTCTAGGAACCCATTGGCATTAGTGTACCAGCGAGTGTTGTGAGAGGCTACATTCAGCTTCAGTGAATTTGACGGGGGAGGAGAATTCTTTCAACATGTTTGCCCATTTCATGATGGGTGATTTATGAGGACACTTAAGTCTTCAGCAGTGTTTGACCAAAAACAGCATGACCCCATGCCCCACCCTCCCTAGTCACCAGAACTTGCCCCAGGCCGCTTTTTGTTGTTTCCCCATGAAAAAAGTCCTCAAAGGGAAATGTTCTGCTTTATGGAAGAGGTGAAACAAAAAAACAGCAGAAGCTCTGAGAGGCATCACATTTGACAAGCTCAAAGACTATTATGAGCAGTAAACAAAAGCTTCTTGATAGATGTATTGCATTAAATGGAGAATAATCTGAAGATGACTAAAATTTAAGCATGTAAGAATACAAAATTTTGATAAATAAATTCTGGTTTGGGGGGTCTCTCCCTTGTACACATAAACATCTGTGCCTCCATGTATGTGTGTACATTACATTCTTGTACTGCATACTGAGTGTGGTATCAGAAACATATTCTATTGTGGCTACAAGTCAAGAAAGTTCAAGGACACAGCCCTAGGTGACAGTGTAACAGTTTCAGCCACAGCCTTTTGAACTGATCTAAGAGGCCAGCACTATCTTTGAGTGTTGTCTCAAGTCTAGCCAACTTCTTTCCAGAGATAAAAATCTAACAATGAAGCAATAAGCAATAAATATGGGCCTGCCTCCTGCCTAGAGACTGAGTTAGAAACTAGCCACACTGAATCACATGACTGGTGGCTGGAGGATGGGCTTTGGAAACAACAAAGTCAATCACCTTGTACCTTGGCTCTTAACTCCTTCAGGAGAAGATGGACTGTAGTAGGCAAGAGGTGGAACTCTGATGATAGAGGTCCCAGCCATGCTGAGAGCCCCATCCAGAGGGAGGTGAACCGTGAAAGGGCCCACACCCTGGGAACTGCTGCCGCGCCACTGCTGGGCTTGACGTTGACAATGGGGGTAAGAAAAGTGGATACTGATCCCGGCAGCTGGGCCTTAAAGATCTCGCATCTCTTTCCAGGCATCCCTCAGCCCATGAATACTACGATCCAAATGACTACATGGGAGACATTCATCAGGAGATGGACAGGGAGGAGCTGGAGCTGGAGGTATGAAGAAGGTCCTTGTCTCATCTTAGGAGTCAAGATTAAGAACACAGGATGCAAATGTAATTCATAGATGCTGATGGAAAATAACAAAAGCAGAACCACTTTTAGTCATGCCCTTTGAAAGGGCCAATTGAGATTTTTTTCTTCCCCTCTTCCAAACAGAGCTAAACACTCAGGTTCCAAAAGCCGAAATGTGGGGTTTTTAAAATATGAATTATTTAAAAGATAGGACAGTTAGTCCTGTTGTCAACCTTTGAATCCATGTAAGCCACACATTCTCATAACGAATGTAAGTCTCCTCATCTTCCTACCTTTTATGTCATCACCACTTTTTACTCAAGGCAGATGTTCGAGAAAAGGTGGGTAATAACTAAAATGCCCCCAACAAGAAGGGTTTGCCCACTGAGTCACTTGCTTGTGATTCAAGGCCAAATATGACTTAAGATTCTAGATGATATACAGTGTCAAACTGGTCTCTGTTGAGTTTTAAAATATGGGCCGGGCTCAGTGGCTCAGCCTGTAATCCCGGCACTTTGGGAGGCCGAGGCAAGCGGATTGCCTGAGCCCGCAGGTTCAAGACCAGCCTGAACAACTTGGCAAGCTCTTGTCTCTACAATAAATCAAAAAATTAGCCCGGCGTGGTAGCACGCACTGGTAGTTCCAGCTACTTGGAAGGCTGAGGTAGAAGAATCACCAGAGCCTAGTGGGCCAACACTGGGGTGGCCATGAGCCTGCTACTGCCCTCTAGCCTGGTGATAGAGTGAGACTCCAACTCAATATATATATTTATATATATATATATATATATATTTAGAGGAACCAGGGTGCCAACAGTTCTATTTCTCCTTTCCCTTTTTTCTTCTTTTGAGTCAGGTTCTCACTCTGTCACCCAGGCTGGAAAATGCAGTGGCACCATGGTTCACCCAGCCTCAACCTCTTGGGATCAGGCAATCCTTCTGCCTCATCCTCCCAAGTGGGACTGCCATGCCCAGCTTTTTTTTTTTTTTTTTGTAGAAATTAGTCCTCACTATGTTGTCTAGACGGACTTGAACTCTTGAGCTCAAGCAGTCCTCCCACCTTGGCCTCCAAAAGTGCTGGATTTCAGGCATAAGCCACAATGCCTGGCCTCATCTTCCTCTTAATGCAAGTGATAGAAAATAGAGAAAACAACTTTCATGGTGTATTGATAGGTTCAGGAAAACACTTTCATATTTCAATGTGTTTTCAAAAAAAATACCAGAACATCTTCAAAATCAATTTTATAGAATAAGGGAATAGAATGCCTTTTTTAAACATACCTGATGTGGATGAGTAAGCCCTTTGGCACCATCAGAAGGTCAGCCAACATTCATGAAATTTCATGGCCAACTGTTGTGTAATCTGGGCTGCCCTTCCAGTACTTTTGAAGCTTATGAGTTGTTCAGTGGCAGTAGGTTCTGTGCAGTGACAGAAGCAGCCAAATAGAAAACAGCTGTGTTCCTCAACTGAAACTTGTTTAAGTTTATACTTTAAAGTTACCAAAATTTCTCATTGTAAAACAGAAGAAGAATAGCAAAAGCGTGCAAAACGACTGCTTGCCTACAGCCAGACGCAGTCAAATCCAAGTATGGTTACTAGAGAGGCATGACTGACTCAGTGACAAATCTTCTGGAAATTTAAATTTTTTCCAGAAATGCAAGAATGACAATTATTTTAACTATAAAAACTGTTGATTGTTTCTGCTTGTTATCAACTACCAATCAAAGCGCTTGCCATCCAATAATTGCTTCAGGAAATGTAGCCTTGTCAAAAGTAAGGATTCTTCCTTTATTTACAGTGTCTGATCTCCTTGGATTCATGTCTAGTTTGTGAAGCAGCTGTGACTCCCCCAGGACACTTGTTCCTTAAGTTGTTAATACATGTTCTTTCCAAAGGGGGGTTCATGATCAAATACATTTGGGAAGTGCCTGATTGAACAATACTAAACATATTTCTTGAAGGGCTTCTCAGAATCATGACTATCTAAGAAGGATGGTAAATCCCCAGGGGGAGAGGGCATACAACAGGCAGAAATCCCAAATCTCTCCAGCCAAGTACCTGTTTACATTTCCTCAGTCTCTACTGAATCATCTTTACAGGACAACACTGCTTTTTGAAGATGTGATTGTGACAGAGTAGAGTTCTTTTTAAACGCTGTCGGATATCTCTGAAGCTAGGTTTATGAAGTAGTATAGACTTGGCAGTCTTTGGTATTTAGTTAAACTTGACTTTACAGCAGTGGGTTCTTTTGTGGGTTATTTGAGAATCTGATGGAAGCTACAGTCTCTCCCTGGAAGAATGCTCCTGTCTATAAGAGCTTGCATGAGGTTTCAGGAGATTCTCTGAGCCCCCACTTGAGCTATTCTGCCTTACGATTTTTTGTTTTATGTGAATATCACCAGAACAGTAATGTGCTTTCTATTGCCCTTTAACTCGCCTCAACTTATTTAAACTAAGGTAATTTTATTTTAAAGGAAACACTATATCACTGCCTCAAGCAGAAAGTCAACATCAATTGCCATAAGTAGAAAGTTTCACACAATTAAATACAGCGGACACAGACAGTGTTATTAAATCCTGGTGCTCCACACTGGTGCCTCCAGTGGGCTAGGAGCCTGGGGCCACTGCCTCCTGTTCTCTTTCTCTGTTTCTAAGGAGATTAGCTAGAATTAAAGAAGTGTTAAGACTAGCCCAAACTGAGTCTTTCTCCCTAAAGGAAGTACCTTTCCCAGCATGAACTGCCAGAGAGAACCCTGTAGTTCAAAGTGTGGTGCCAGGCCTAGTAGACTGGCCTCACGTGGGAGACATGGGAACTATAGAACCTCAGCCCGCAGACTTGCAGAATCAGAAGCTGCACTTTAACAAGGTCCACAGGTGCCTCAGTGCATAGTGTCAGAGGATCCCCAACCCAGAGGCCATGGGCCACGGAAAGCAGCCCAAGCTACCATCTCTTCTTGTTCTCATGAGGCACGCCAGGGAGGCTCTAGTGGTGTATCTCATTCACTGCACTGTAGAGCTGTGCTCCCAAGGTACCCCATCATCCACACTGTCCATGCAGAGCAAAGTTATCACAGGCTAGAATGACTGAGTCCTTCCCAGACATGTGACACTGTGCTCATAAGGCTGCTGCTTTATTTTCATGAATAAAAGCAGAGAGAAAAATGCAGGTGTTTAGAAAACGAGCCAAGCATTTTAAGTTAGGCCTTGGATACCATATGACTACATCCATGCTTATTTTCAGTTCTATTTGTTCTACTGAGTATCTGTTATATACATGACATATACTGCTTGGCTCTAGATATGCAAAATCAGGAAGCTACCACCCTGCCTGCCTTTTAGTAGCGCATAAGTCATTAGGACCAATAGACATTAGCTTTTTGTTTTTCTTTTCTTTTTTTTTTTTTTTTTTTTGAGTCAATGGCTCACTCTGTCACCGAAGCTGGAATGCAGTGGCATGATCACAGCTCACTGAAGGCTCCAAGCACATGCCATGCTGGTGCTCCATGTATCTCAGCCTCTCAGGTAGCTGAGATTTCAGGCACATGCCACCATGCTTGGCTGTTTTTTTGTCTACTTTTTGTAAAGACTTTCTGTTTACTATTTTGCCCTGGTTAAACTCCTGGGCTCAGGTGATCCTCCCACTTCTGCCTCCCAGAGTGCTGGGATTATAGGCATGAGCCACCATGCCCACACAGCTTTTCATTTCTTAGAAAGCCAGAATAGGAACATTCTCTATCTCTAGCTCCTTTGATCGGTTACTAGAGTACTGTGAGACTACACCAGATAGGAAATCTGCTTTAACGTTGGTCTTTTGCCCACAGCAGTTTAGCTGTCACCAGGTTATTTCTGTTAACTAAGCAGCTTCTCATAAAGTGAACCTGGTGATTTTGGACGAACAGCCATCCTGTTCTGGGGCAGTGATGGCCAACGAAGTATGCTAGATTAGGAATGGCTCAGCTAGTGTCTTCTGAGGCTCACTGTAGCTGTTCACCAATATGCACTCTCCATTAGAGAACAGCAGCTGTACCTACTTCAGGGTTGCTCTGTTTCAGAGGCATGTCTTTGGAAGGTCATCTAGTCAGTCTGAAAACATTAATAAGTAAACCCCATTGTGAAGAAGTGAGTTTCCTAAGGGGACCCAGTTTTCAGGGATACTGGCACATCTGTCATCCGTGCTTCCTCACAAGATTTCTTAAAACAATCAACAAACTGTCTTCTAGGTTTCATCCAACTTTATTCCAATTGCTGGGTTTGACTTCAGAAGAATCAGGGCTGCTTTGAGTAAGGGGGCCAGTCTCAACACAGTCCTCATCATCTAAATTGAATTAGACCAAAGTCAGCACCTTCCAAAGAACACTGGTTCCATGAATATTATATGTGAGGAAAATATATATGAGTGTGTTGGGATGTTATTGAAGCAAATGCACAGAGAAAAACAGATGTTCTCTCTTTTAAAGTACACAGAATGATCATATTTAGCTAAGTGTCAAATCCCTGTTATTGTGAAACTGCTTAGAGTTAAAGGGATTACACCCAAGTATACCCCAGGGTTGAGCAGACAAATAATTACCCATAAATTTTCAGGTACCGAACACCTGCTCTTGATCTTCCTGTAGGCAATTAAGAAAGAAAATAGATGTCCAAAGAAGGCTTTTTCCTTCATCTATTGTTTTAATTTCCCAGATGATTCATCAGTAGCATCCTCTTCAAGCTGTGAAGTTGCTGTCACCTGTACTGTGTTTTAATGATGTAATTCAGAGATCAGAAAGGAAAGCTACGATTTCAACAGAAGACTAACTTGATCCCCTAACCTGATTTCATAGATTACCTAAGTAGATCAGAAGGGAACTGGGATGGACCTTCAGGGTGCACCAGCCAGTCCAGAAATTTTTCTTTAGCCTTTAAGGCACAGGGCAAGGAAGGACTCTTTAGGGCACCTTTTCTGGTCAGGCCCACCCTGACTGAGTTGGTCTTTTTGTGAC